GATGGAGAAGCGGTGGCCACCTTAAGGAGAGCAGTGACAATCTGTGATGTGGCGATCGCATACAGCATTATGTCCTTCCTGGGATTATGGAAGGTTATAGAGAGAGATCAGCTCTTTGTTGGAAATATGAAGATTTTGCTTACTTGGGGTCATAGGAGTATGATAATTTCTTCTTCTCTTCTTCTCTTCTGTCTTCTAATCTCTTCTCTTTTTGGTAACCTTCCTTATACAGTTAAAAAAATGATTCATTACCAGAGAAGAAAAGAAAAAGGAATATATATGTGGGTTGGTAGGGCCTCGTGTACCCCTGGGACTGGTGTTGCGGGGAGCCTGCTCTCAGACATGTCCCAGGATGTCATAGGCGCTCCAGGGTGAAGGAGGGGGTGCTGCAGCCAGGTATGAGGACCTGTATGCCTCACCCAGCGAGATGAGCTGCTAAGCCCCCAGCACAGTGTCTTATACAAGCTCAGCTCCGTGAGGGACGTGCCTCCTTCCCCCAAATAGTCATCATTGTGCTTTTCGTCCTTCCCCTGTCATGTCTCATTGAAACCTCATCATAATGGTGCCAGATGGGTCATGTAATAATGCCCATTTGACAGACAAGAAGGCTGAATCCTTAGTTGACATGGAGGAAGCCTCTGTTGTATTCACACTCAGGCCATCTGCACACATCCCTTTGGATGCTCACACAGCAACTCTGCAGGGCCGCCCTTCGTATCTGCTTTAAAAGATATGAAGTTCCACGAAGGGCAAACTGAGGCTTGGTTAAGTTACTTGCCAGGCAGTAACTCATGGGAAGCCAGGAAGACTCATGGGAACATTTATCCCTGGGTTTTCTGACTCGAAATGTGGTTGTGTTTTTTCCTTTTGAATTCTGTTATGAAAGCCCCCTCCATTTGAGACACATTATCATAGGTCTCTGCAAGAACCCCTTTTGCTTCTTTTCCTCTTCTCCCTCGTTCCCAGCCCCTTCGCTCCTCTCAGGCACCCACTGTGGTGTGTTTGCTGTATGCCCTGCATGTGTACCTACTGTACTGTTCTGAATGAGTCTCTGTTTTTAATTTAGACACAGGGATTCTGTTCCAGATCCCCTTCTGGTTTTCTTTTTACTAAGTACTATCTTTTTTAGATCCTTTCATGTTGCTTTGTTTAGCCCAGATGAGAGGCTGCATGGCCCCTTCTCTGGGCAAAGGCCGTGCCCTTCACCTCTCTTGTCCCCTGCTTTTGGACACTACGGATGCCCAGCCATGAACCCCTCGCACCTGTACCGTGTGGACTGTGGGAGAGTTTCCCTGGTACGGACACAGGGCTGGGGTGGATGAGTCATTGTGCACATGCACACTTAATTTCACAAGCTGTGCCAGATTGTTTTCCAGAATGACTACAGTTTGTGCTTCCACTGACAGCGCTCAGGGTTCCTGTCTCCCCACGTCCTCCCCAGCACCTGGTATCAGCAGGTGTATCAGAAAGGATGCATTTGATAGCTCAAGCACATCAGGGTGCTGGATTAGCATCGCAGTGATGCTCTTTTTGCTACAGACATCACCTTATCAAAACAGCATTTTAAGTAGAAAGAATGTCAGGCAGGAAAAGGAGGTGTTTACTGCAATTCTCTATCTTCTATTAGGGAAGAAAATTTCCCCCAAAATCCCCAGTAGACTTCCTTCCCCTTATGTCTCATTGGCCAGACTGGGCTAGATGTCTTCCCCAGGCCAGCCCTGACCAAGAGAACAGGATTGCTCTGGGCTCCGTGTACCTTTTCTGAGCACAGTGCTGTCTGCCCAGGACCTGGTGGAACTGGGAATATCTGAATAAGGATGAAGAGGGCAGCGGAGCGTGGGTTACTCAGCCACCCATAGACACTTCCACACCAGATCTCTGATTTTGCCAATTTCTTTTTTTGTTTTTTGTTTTTTTTAGGAAGATTAGCCCTGAGCTAACATCTGCTACCAATCCTCCCCTTTTTGCTGAGAAAGACTGGCCCTGAGCTAACATCCATGCCCATCTTCCTCTACTTTCTATGTGGGACGCCTACCACAGCATGGCCTGTCAAGCGGTGCCATGTCCACACCCAGGATCCGAACCAGCAAACCCCGGACCGCCGAAGTGGAACGTGTGCACTTAACCGCTGCACCATGGGGCCGGCCCCTGATTTTGCCAATTTTTTTTGAGCACATGCTTCCTCTTCTATACAAGAGATCTTCCCCCCGAATCTGTGTGACTACCCATTTGTAGAGAGTTTCTGAAACGGTGAGTCAACCAGCACATGGCCATCGCCTTGGGGATTAGATCTGTCCAACCCCTTTTGGAATCTCTCATTCTTCTTGCTAGGTGGACATCAGAGCTGTTCCCACCCAACTGCCTCACTTCAGGTTTCCGGGCGGGCTCCCCAGGGGAGAGGTTGACGTGGAGATTCAAGGGCCAGAGTGCCAAAGCTTCTGCCTGCGCCACCATTCCAAGGCAGAGTGCCGGCTGTCAGGGAACAGCATGGTGGCAGCAGCACGTTCCCCTCATCAGCCACACGAATACCCTAGGAACCCTTGTGTTTCTGCCTAGCCAAAGAAATTAATTTCTAAATGACACCTAATAGGTATAATTTATCGAGCACTTACTCTGTGCCAGGTGGCCCAGAAAGCATTTTATTCTTTTGATCTCGTATGAAACCCTCCTGACAGCCTTCTGAGAGCATTTCTGTGTTTCGCTTGAAGGACAAGCTCCAGTCCACCCACCTACAGAATCCCAGTTCTGATATTAATAGCTGTGTGGCCCTGGGCAAGTTCCTTCCCTTTTCTGTGCCTCGGCTTTCTCATTTGTACATGGTGAATAATAACAGCATGTTAGTAGTACGGGATGAGTTAGTAAACATTAATAAACAGTGTTTAGAATGACAGTGGCTCAGAGCAGACACATAGTTCACACTTGATACATATTAGCTGTTGTTGCCATTTTTAAAAATGGAGAAACCAGAGGCTCAGAGAGATCAACTTAACCAAACATGACACAGCTGTGAGTAGCAGGGACACAGCTTGACCCAGGCATTTCGGACTTGGAAGCTGCCTTGTATCCATCCAACCAGATGCCATCAGTAGTAGCTTCAGGGACCAAGGGGACACTGTCATCACTCTCCTTATCAGTAGGAGAAATTTTCAGCTGAAAGACCCAGTGATACTTTTTTGTAAAGACATGGTCTCCAGCCAGTGACCATGAAGACCTGGCGTAGTATGTCCAGCACCTGCGAGGTGTGTGATCATTTCTGCAAGGTGGCTGGGGGAACTGGGCCGCTGGGGTGGGAAAGGAAGGGTGTGCCCTGGGACAGCACTTAATTCCTTATTCCACCACTAAACCTCAGGCTTCTCATCTTTCAAATCGGGTTTCTATTGTATTTCCTCCCGGTGAGCACTTAGGAAGTGCCTTATAAACTGAGCATCGTCAGTGCCGCTTGTTGCAGAATTAGGATTGTACATGTTACCTTATCATTTGTTTCTTATCTCCGTTCCTACTTACACACACTCACACAAAGCGTAAGTGTTGTGACCCCAGCTCCGCGTTAGTCACCGGAAGGCTCTGGAAACCAAGCCTTCAGAATCTTCTGGAAGAGATTTTTCCCTTGCCTAACTAGGCTAAATGAACTGGAATGAGGAGCCACCGGGATTTTTCGAGACTGGGGTATCTACCATGTCTGTTGGTTTGGCGGCAGATAGACAAGGTCGCGCTCTGCCACGCAAGACATTCCCTCGCTGAATTTTCCACCTGAGCATTTTCAGACATGGGCCTCTTGGGTGTGAGGGACGAAGGGCTCAGTCTGAACGAAAGGTCACAGGCTAAGTGGTGTGGCTTTAAGCAAAAAAGATGACTTCATGCCCGGAATTTCCTAGGAGGACTTTTAAACTTAACCCTGCATAACAAGCAATTCAACTATCTTTTATTTTTTTAATTTAAATGGCCCTCTCTCTCTTCCTTTCCCTCCCTTCCTCCCTCCCTCCTTCCTTCCTTCCAAGGAACACATTCACTCTTGAAAATTCTAAAGATCCAGAAAGATGCGCAGCAAAAGTGAGATATGTGACCCCATTTCCGGTTCCCCAGCCAACAGGCGTCCCTTCTGGGAGGCAGTCACTGTCAGAAGTGTCCTGCCTGTCGTTCTAGAGATGGTCTGCCTGCACATGTCCGAGAAAGTCCGTGTGTGTGTACAAGGTTTCCTTCTTTATTGTGTGAGCTCGTGTTTCATAGCACCCGAGCTCCGTGATTCAGGCCGTAATGTACTTTCCCATTTCTCCCGAGTTACAAGGCCTCCCTTCCCATTGGCTCTTCGCCAGCTGCTGCCATTGTCCTCTCTGTGCCCAGGGCCTATTCCCGGGCATGTGTGATGACATGGAGACATCTGTGATGAAGTGGCGGTGGACACTGGAGCGGTCCAGCCCCGTTGGTGGAGAATCCCTTGCTTTCAGGAGGTCCTGGGCTCACCTTGATCTCCCCCCTGAAGGCAGGAAGCAGGAAGGCTGGACGGCAATGCAGGGCAGTCTCCAGAAATTGCTCACATCACAGACAGCCTGCCGGGGAACCCACTTCTCCCCATTAAAGGGAAGCTTTAAGACCACTTTCCCTTGACTCAGGTCACCTGGTGCAGAATGACACCCCTGAGAGATGGCCGAGGCCATCGTTCCTCAAATTTGAGCCAAGCACAGATCCCTAGGAGTCCTTTTTAAATGCAGATTCTCATTCAATTCATCTGTGTGGGGCTGAGATTCTGCATGAATGATGAGCCCCCAGATGATGCTGATGCTGCAGTCCTCGCACTGACTGACCCATTTTGAGCAGCAAGGAAGCATCTAGTCCCTCCCACCGCTGCTCGCACCACACGTAGTACCCGACACCATCTAGAGGGCCAGATGGCACGTACTCCGGCTCTGTCACAGGTTCGCAGTTTAACATACATTGTCACATTTCATCTTCCTAATCGTCCAGTGAGGTGTGGGAATATAATCCTTTTTTTTTTTTTTAAGGTGAGGAAACTACTGCTCAGAGATGTGAAATAACTCAGCAGAGGTCACACAGCTAATAAGTGACAAACAGGAATGTCCAAGCAGTGAAGGTCATTTCCAGTCGCCGAGTCTTTCACAAGCCCATGTCTGGACCGGGACATCTCATGTCTCATCGTGAGCAGGTTGGATGGCGAGCGTCATTTTCTCTTCTCTCCCCCATGTTATCTGCGAGATTTTAATCCTTGCTGCTTCTTTTCAGGAGACTGGAAAATAACTGGCCGGAGGGGATAGGCCCAGCAGTAACACTGGCCCAGAGAGAATTGAGTGCTTTTTCCCGGTGACAAGAAGACACACGCAGCTGGAAAAAGGAGCCTAGGCCGTCACCATGTTCCCCAAATAGCAGAACACCTCCCTCCTTCCCACCTTCTCTCCCGTGGCACAGAATACGTTTTACCAGGGATCGGTCACTGCTGAGCTGTCGTCACTTAATGTGGCTTTGACAGAATAGTTGGTCTGGAAATCTTATTTTCAATTAAATGACCTTATTGAACTGCCTTGGTTTTGAAAAGATTCCATTAGGATGGCTAATTATATAGCAGTTGCTCCAAGGAGATGCTGGCACTCCATTTCAGCTCTTAAGTAATTCGAATCAAATGCTGTCTTCTTTCCTCCTTGGAGCTGTGAGCGACCGTCTTCCTCTCACACTGCAGGCTTCTCGTGAGTTATTTTTGGAAATCCAAGTCAAAACAGCAATTTTGGCAGAGGCCATTTCTAGCCTAGCAGAGTAAACCGTATGTACTGATAAAAACAGCCGAAGAGTCAGTGCCTTTAAAAAGCAACTAAACCATCTCCTTCTGTGGGGGTTAAATTTGGGGGACCTCCAAACTGTCCTTTGTACTGTCCTATTCCTTCGTGAGCTCTAACTGAAGTCAAAGACATTGGAATTCCTTTAAGATTAGCAAAGCTTTGTCCGTTTGCAAACTGTCATCATGGTCATTTTGTTTCAAGGTGGCAGGCCTTGGCAGAATTTACCAGGCACTCTGTTTTGGCCTCTGGATCTCCCCTGAAACGTGGAAATCACTTTCTGTTCCCATTCTGTGCTGTTTGCTTCTGTCACCAGAGCACTCGCGACATTCCTCGCGACATTCCTCGTTACGCATACCAAGCAGTCAGATCTTCCTGCTCACCCGTTAGAACGGAGCTTCTTGTGGCCAGGGGCTGTGTTTTTCATCTTATTTCCTTCCTGGCCCATAATAGATGCTCAAATAGTTGGATGAATAGATAGACTAGATAGATGAATGAATAGAATCCTATTTCTATTTTTCTCCTTTTTAAAAAAAAAATCAATCATTTATTACATAAATAGTAAATGAATGTTTTCACCTTGGGGGGAAAAAACAGTTTCCAAATAAGGTTAAAGTCCTTTTTTTTTTTTCCAGTTTTCTTTTTTTTTAAAGATTGGCACCTGAGCTAACAACTGTTGCCAATCTTCCTTTTTCTTTTTTCCTGTTTTTTCTCCCCAAATCCCCCCAATACATAGTTGTGTATTTTAGTGGTGGGTCCTTCTAGTTGTGGCGTATGGGACACCACCTCACTGTGGCCTGATGAGCGGCGCCATGTCTGTACTCAGGATGCGAATCAGTGAAACCCTGGGCCGCCGAAGCAGAGCACACGACCTTAACGACTTGGCCCCAGGGCCGGCGCCTGAAGTCCTTTTTTGATCACTGCCCATGATCCTTGTTTCCCCATCATCTCTGCTTAGGTTATCCCTTTGGAGCACATCCTCACAGACCTCTCTAATGCGTTTATGTACACGCACATACACACACACAGAGTACTGTTTTTGTAGACCTGTGATAAAGAGATTATTCTGCAACTTGCCTTTTCCTACTCAGCAATATATCAAGTGCTATCCATGTCAGCTACCTTATTCTTTGTAACTGCTACATAGTTTTATTACGTTGTGTGGCTATAATACCTTTTATGTGGACCAAATAAATAAATTCCTTATCTGTTTTCATGCTCATTATAGTTCAGGATCCCTTCTCCTGTATATGTTGACAAACTAACCCTGTCCACTGCTATCTTTTGGTAGCTACAGTACATTTCATCAGAATCAGCCAATTGCCCTGGGGATTTTGCTAAACCAGTAGACAGAATCATGAGAAATGAAATGAGGGTTGCCAGAGGGACCTGAATTCCCTTCTCTGCAGAAGCTAGGGAAGTAGGTGCACTCTGCACTGGGAATACCACAGGTCTGGAGAGCGAGGGATGTTAGATTTCCTCGGGCAGGTCATTTCCTATCCCTGGACCTTATTTTTCTCATCTGCCCAATGGACTCAGTGAGCCTCTTTCAACTGTTAGACCCTGAATAATAGGGCTGACACAGTGCCACCAGAACGGATAAACAGAATATATTAACTCTCTCTCCGCTATGTGGCGGGATGGGAAAGGGGCACGTTAAAAATACTTTTTACGGGCCGGCCCCGTCGCCGAATGGTTAAGTTCATGTGCTCTGCTTTGGTGGCCCAGGGTTTGGATCCTGGGCGCGGACATGGCACTGCTCATTAGGCCATGTTGAGGCAGCATCCCACATGCCACAACTAGAAGGACCCACAACTAAAATAGACAACTATGTACTGGGGGGATTTGGGGAGAAAAAAAAAGCAGGGAAAAAAATAGATTGGCAACAGTTGTTAGCTCAGATGCCAATCTTTAATTAAAAAAATATGTATTTTAATTATATTTTTATTCTATTTTAATTAAGATAAATTTTAAAATTTTAAAATAGAGATTCAGCCCAGAGCCCTTCACTGTGTTCATGTCACAAAGAGTCTGTGATTGGCCAGGAATGCACTGCCTCTAGATCTCACACTTCTCTCTTATTCTTTTCTTATCCAATTAAAATGTTTATATTTTTTCCTTTGCTTTGTGTGGTCTTTTTGTCCTAAGCAAGGCAATCGGGTGTTGGGGAGAGAGATTATGGACTCCTGAGTTCGACCATCAGGTTTGTCTAGTTCTAGCTGTGTGTTCTTAGACAAGTCACTAACCTTCTCTGGGTTTCCATCTATTAATATGGTGATTCCAAATTAGCCAAGTATTCAGTAAAAAAAACAAAAACAAAAGGTAAAACCAGACTCGCTTGTGAATGTTTCATCTGGCATTTATGAACCTTGTCACCTGCGGATAGATCATCTCGTGAATTGATGAGGCATCCTAAGAGACCACCAAAACTCATTAAATAGTCTTGGTTCACATGAGAACTGTGCAGCTGCTCTGGCCCCTGGTGACACACCAAGTGTCAGTGGGTTCTGAGGGAGGCCCAGGGAAGGTTCTGTGCTGCCATGATTCATAGGTTGAGTTTCCCTCTAAGCTTCAAGGCTTTGATCACGTGTCCCCTGCTTTGAGATGCAGGACCACAAGGGTCACAGGATCTGATTCACACACTGGTGGGTTTCCCTTGGGGTCCCCATCAGGCTTTCCCATGTAGGGTGAGAGTTCTCGTCCCTTGTCTTGGCATTACACATTGATCTGGAGACACCATGGTTCTGCAGGTGAAAGGTTGGGGTGAATGGGTGTGAAAAGTGCGTGGGAGTCACAGCCCCAAAAGGTCTCTGGGAGTTTGTCTTTCCTGCTCCCAACACTGTTTTGCATCTCTACCGTGAGCTTCTGTTTCTGAGCACCCCTTGAGCTAAGCTGATCTGTTGAGCCGATCTGTGGAGGAATGAGGCCACTGTGAGCTACCTGCCGGGGCAGGTGACCTCACCCCTCCCAGCCTCTGCTTCCCACCCCGCTGGGTCTTTAATATGAAATGAGACTGCAGTAGGTGCTGAGCTCGCATCACCTTCCCATTCCGCTTTCTGATATGGAAAGCATCATTTTATAGGCTCTGAATCTGTGTTCTGAGCTTCCAAAAGCCTACTGTAAACATTTTACACATTAACCAAAATAAAACAAGAAGGCAGCACAGTGAATGGAGAGAATATTATTAGCATGTTACACATCTTAAATTGGTAAAAAAAAAAAAAAAAGGAATGATGGATCATTTTCATTTACGACTCTCACTCCCTGCTAATTTTTCAGCAGCTCTCTCCTCGTCTCAATAAAATGCTGGAAATCTAGTTGGCATTGTTGCAAGTAAATGCAGAGCCAGTCTCGACTGTCGCGCTGTCTCTCCCTGTATTTGATCCTCATCCAGGTGATCGATACCATTTTCATTCATAATCCGGAAACTTTAAGAAATGAATCAGCTTGACCTATGATTCACAGATACTTGATCTGAAATACTTGATGTGGTTGTGAGGGGGTGGGAGGTAGAGTCAGAAATAAATTCCGTTGACCCCGAAAGTCAGCTTAGGTGAACTAGTATGGTGGGGGAGGGCGAATTATCATCCTGTGGTTTGTGTGGATGGTTCCTGCTCTCAGGGAGCTGCACTGTATTGGGGGGACTTAAGGTGGCCACACAACCAGGGTTGATGAAAGAATTCCAGGTTATGCCCGTTGCTGCAGCCTCTTAGACGGTTAACGTGCCCTTCCACTAGCAGAAGTGTCACAGTGTGGAAATAGAGGGTTCTGAAGAGACTAGACTGGGAGTTCTTAAAGGTCAGAGGTCTCATTTTATTCATATGTGCATCCCCAGCGCCTGGCCTCTCGTAAGCAGTTAATAAAAGAAAGACTTGCTAGGTGGGTGAGTGAGAACGTAAGTAGATTCTTCACCTCCACTCTCTGAATTTGGTCTCTGAATTTCTGTTTCCCGTTTATCTTTGTGTGCTCGGGCCGCTAGGGTGCCTCTACTGCGTTTTGACTGAACCAGAGATTTCAGAACTTCAGCTGGGAATCGCTTTGGTTGCATGTACACGCCCTGGTGACCTGTAGCTTCACGACTTGCGGTGCGTTATCCAAATGAGTTTATAACTTACCGAAGTACTGAAAACAGTGGCTTCCATGATGTCTCCTCCCAAGAAATGGTGGTGGAGGTGGAGGTGATGCTATTCTTGTTAGCTGTCTGTCTTTGCTGCCTCTTGTCTTTTCTCCCCTAGCTAGAGGATTCATAGACCTTTAAATACATATGTATTTCAAAAATATAAGAAATTGGAAAAAGAGAGTCAGAAAGCTATCCATAATGTCATGACCCTTGGTTACATAGTAGCAATTATTATTAATGTGTGACTTGTTTTATACAAAGTTTTTTACATAGTTGTTATCTTAAGGAGTTTTCCACTTTTTCTTCCATCTGTATTTTTCTGCAAGCATTGCCCATGTTATTTGAGAACCTATTCAACTACCATTTGTTACTTTTATCCATATGGTTGCTGGTAGATGGTTGTTTACTTTTTTCCCTTTCGTAAAAGAAATTTTCCTTCTGGGCTGTCCTGTATCTCAAGAAAATCTCAAAAGTGAAATTATTGGATCAAAAGATATGAATGTTGTTAAATTATATGTATATCTATATTTAAATGAATAGAATTTATTTTTTAGAGAAATTTTAGGTTTACAAAAAATTGCGTAGAAAGTACAGAGAGCTCCCACATCCTAGCCCCACCCCCATTCCCCATATTGTTAACATCTTGCATTAGTAGGGTGCATTTGTTACAGTTCATGAACCAAAACTGATACTTATGGCTAAAGTCCATAGTTTACATTTAGGATTCTGTGTTAAATGGTTCTTTGGGATTTTCGCAAATGCATAATGTCACGTAGCCACCATTATAGTATCATGCAAAATGGTTTTACAGCCCTAAAAATCCCCTGGGCCCCTGTTAATCCCTCCCTCCCTCCCTCTCTCAAACCCTTCGCAACCAGTGATCTTCCACTCTTTCCATCGTTTTGCCTTTCCCAGAACGTCATATAGTTGGAATCACACAGTATGTAGGCTTTCAGACAGGCTTCCTTCACTTAGCAGTATGCGTTTAAGATTCCTCTCCGTGTCTTTTCATGGCTTGATGGTTCATTTCTTTTTAGGGCTAAATAGTATTCCGTGTCTGGATGTACTACACTTTATCTGTTCACTTACTGAAGGACATCTTCATTACTTCTAAGTTTTGGCAATTATGAATAAAGCTGCTATAAATATTCGTCTGCAGGCTTTTGAGGGGACATGTTTTCAACTCATTTGGTTAGACACCAAGGAAAGTGATTGCTGGATCACATGGTAAGACTATTTCTGTAAGTAACTGCCAAAGCTTTCTATTTTTTACGTTTATTCAACAGATTTTAGTTGTAATACCATGAACATGGTTAATCCTCCATCTACACTTAGTGTTATAATGAACACCCTCTCCTCAGTCTTTTTTTGTGTGTGAGGAAGATTGGCTCTGAGCTAACATCTATGCC